TGGATCGATGTCGAAAAATTACGGTTCCATTAAGTTCTCTAATTTACTCTGATTTCTCAGCATAGTTCAAAGTCAATGAAATTTACGGACTCCGAGTGCTTTCCTCGGATTTTTTTCGATTTTCTGAGACGACAGTCTGCTTCTGAGCAGTCAGAACGATAAAATGGAAAAGGTTGTAAGATTCTCTTGAAGATATGTCATGGTTTGAGACAACGTTTTTGACCGCTAGAAAATCACTTTCTTCGGTCCATCGCGTCGCTGGGTGCGAAAATTGCGTCCTAATTCTTGTAAGCGTTGCTCAAGGGAGAACGATGCTGACCTCGTGATTATACGCTGCCTGGAGCATTTCAGTCACTCCGATATTTTCAGATGGAAATAATCTTAGAGTTGTAATCAACAACTCTTTAAGGTCTTTTCCTTACTTTTGGGATGTTTTTTAAGCTCTATGAAGATTCTGTGATATTCTGAGGAAGTGAGCGAATTCAGCCTCTTGCTCTGGTATCCCCGATATCACACTTTAGTTTCAGAAGTTATTCAAGTGTATCAGGCTGCCCCTTAGAATCTTTGTCCAGACTTCATGTACAACTTTTTCACATAAATTTAGAATTTTCCATAGTTTCTGAAAAGTCAGAAATTTTATTTACCCTATTCCTTGAAGACCCTTCAAAGAAAGTTTTTGAAATCAGAGGGGGATTCCTCATTTGGCAGAAAATTTGTTTTTTTTGGTAGCCTAGTTTTCAATGCGATCTTCGCAAAACTTGCAATCTCGGAAAATCTAGTAAATCTCTAGTCACAGATCACAGTGCTAGAATCCATAATTACAAATCGATAGAAGGCCTGAAGAGCAGTCAGGTGGCTACACACTTCCTGAAAAGTTATACAGCTTACTTCTCACCATTAAATGTTGCCGGGGACTTGTAATTTGACAGAGTTTGTGCAAATTTTCCATTTTTCAAACTGAAGTTAGCGAAGTCAATCTATGATTTGCTGAGCAAAGTGGTCAGTATTCGGATGAGAGCAAACTGATTGAATTGTATCTGACATCTACAGGTTCCTGAAGTACCCAATAACTTAGACAATTTTCCAAAATTTGCGGAACTTGAAAATTTGGAAATTTTTTCAAGTACGCTTTCAAATGGTTCAGAAATGATTTCATTCCAAATTGGAATAAATTCTATCAAGGTGTTAAGGTCTTTGTATCCATCTCACTTTTGATTTATGTCATCAAATTGGTGAGATTTTGAAGACAAATCGATACTGTGGGGTCATCGGGCTCAAGCCAGAGCCAGCCTGGTTAATTAGGGCACTATGAGGGACCAAAAAAATCTGGAAAACAGAATTTGGGATTTTGCAGACTATTGAAACATTCTCGAGTAGCTTAGAGCTTACTGCTTCCAAATATCACCTTTAAAATTTGATACAAAAAACGAGAAGAAAGCTACAGCAATCCGGCTTTTTCAACGCGACATGCCGTTTGTATCGTCGTTGATAATTCAAAAAAGAGCCAAGACAAGAGAAAAAGCAAAGTCTGAGTGAACTCATGAGTGAACGAAAAGATGCCGGTTTCAAATATTTAATCGAAATTTTGATTAAAGAACTTTGAACCGAGTTACACTAGTCGGCACTTTCTGCGCGACATTGCGTTTAAACCGCCGCTGGCATAGAGCCAAAAAAGCTTGAAAGCAAGATTTCAAAATTTTTAAAAGCTTATTCAGGTAGCTTAGGGGACGCCGATTCCAAGTATCTAAATAAGAATCTGTAAGATTCAAGCTGAAGAGAGTTATGGCGGTGCGGCGCTACCAACGCGGCGATGCGTTTATTTCGCCGGAGGTCTCAAAAAAAGATCTTTGGTAACGAGATCTGAAAATTTTCAGGTACACTTCTAGATGGTTCAGAAGGCGCTGATTCCAAATATTCAAACTAGAATCCGATTGATTAACGTTCAAGCGAGCTATCGCAATGCGGCACCTTCGGCGCGACATTGCGCTTATATCGCAGGATTTCAAGGCGGCAGTGTTGGTACTGTATTTATTGTCATTTATTCGCAAACCTGCCATGCCATCCGAAGGCCTTTGCTACAATCCTTGCTTCTTTGCTGACACCTTACAGGATTTCACTGCCTCTTAACGAAGTTAGGGTGTCAATGTTTCGCTACACATAAATTGAGTTTCTTAAAACGGAAGTGGGACCTATGCAGATTAGCCCAGCAATTTTTTGAACTATCAACCTCATTTCGGCTCTTTCAGTTTTGATGGCTTTATCATAAGTTAAAAAAACCAGGTGCAAGAGATTTCACATCTTTTTTTCATTTTTTTTAAATCTTGCATTTCTTTTCGCTTGGATTCGCACCAAAAGTTTGCAGGAGACATTGATCAGATAACCCTTAAAAATCCTCTCGCTACTTGCGGGCCTCCAACACACTCGAGGTTTCTTTAGCTAAAAAAATCCTTAGCTTCACCGACATTATTGTTCCGCTACTATCCCTATCGTCATTTTTCCAATTAGACATAAAAGGAGCTTTGATGTAAATTTTTTCAGGCCCTAAGATGCCTGAATGTGGAAATGAATGGAGGAGAGATTAGGTGCGGGCCAAAATCATTCTCCGAGTTTAACCAAACAACATTAGATAACGCTAGGAAATGTGTGCTTGAAGGTGGGTCAACAGCTTTTTACGCGATTCATAGATGGTTTCGAGTAGACATTCTAAATTCTATTCTAGAATTCCATCCTTACTACGACGGATGTAATGAAATATGCGTTGAAGATCGCTATCTCATGCCATTATCTCACAATCGACAGCTCGAGCAAGTAGCCTATGGCCAGGTTTGTATAATTGTGCCCCGTCTTCTCCTGCATATAATTAGGATGGCAGACGTTTCAAATCAACCGAATCCAAAAGGAACAAATTTCTCTAATTTTTTGAAAAAGGCGTGCGGCAAATTCAAACATCTACCCATTTCTCAAAGCACATTTTCTCATATGATGAGTGCGCACTATTATCCTACTTCTTTGGACATTGTCTGAATGGCCAACAACAACAACTTGAAAAGTGCCAAAAATTAGTTATAACGAATATGGGCAACACTATGTTAATCCTTTATTTGGTACTGCTATTTGATGATTCATATGACATTGTCCGGAAAACGCAATTCTAAAAAATTTTTCGGAGAAACCACAGCGAAAATACACCAATTTAGTTCCATTCTCTTAACGATGATCTATGTGTTAAGCTATGGCTCTTCAAACAATCTACCAATAAAACTTACTTTGTCAGATCTTCCCTTCTCTGGTGCTACTTGCCGTACTCGCCAATGTGACTGTTGCACTGGTGCTGTCAAGAAAGAATATGGTATCGCCGACAAATGTGGTACTGAAATACATGGCGATAGCTGATTTACTGGTCGGCATTGTGCCTCTTCCTTGGACAATTTTCTTCTATTCAATGGGGTGAGCTACACTTCATCTCAGCAGATTTATTTTTGGACTAAAAGTTGATTTTTGCCATTGCCAAACGCAGTATTCACAGAAAAGGATTGGGATGTAGTATTTTCTTTAAAAGCGTGACGAGAGTGAAGCATGAGTGTGGTATAAAATCAAACAACACTCCCTTCTTCCTTACTCTCTCTCTCTCTCTCTCTCTCTCTCTCTCTCTCTCTCTCTCTCTCTCTCTCTCTCGGTTCAATCCCTCCCTGATAATGAAAATGCGAAGATCATTTTCACGCGGCAGCTACGTAAAGAAAACTGCTTGGATCACATTCCATGCTGTAGAGCGAAGAGTGGGTGAAGAATGGGCTACAAGAGAGGAGTCAAGAAGAGATAGAGACAGGCAAAATCCTCTTCTCATGCTGCTCACGTCTTCCAGTGCGGTTCAGGTACGATTGCGGAGCTGCGATGGAGCTGTGTCTGAGATTCTGGTGTTTGGCACATAAATTAGGCGTGTTAGAAATAGGCACTGAACGTATCGGAATCTGTATCTATCCGCAAACCAAAAACTAGACGTATCTGTAAACTTTTGCATGCGTCTAAGCGCACATCTTGTAGCCTCATTCCGTAATCCTAGCTATGTTGAAAAAGAGTCCATTCAACAGAGTACAGATGCTGTCAAGATCTTTTTCAGAAGGAAACCATGGCATATCAAACACTGCCATATCGGCTTCTCAAGAAGTTCTTCTCAGGTCATATTCAGCATGCGATAGACTGATTAACATACTCAAAACTTTGCCGCAGGGGGAGGGGAGAGAGTCAATCCAGCATGCAGCCTAAACCCCCGCACTTGAACGATGGCTAGGCCGAGGTACTACCGCCTGGCATAAAAACTGAGCCCCATTTTGCCCCTACACTGCCCTCAAGTTGGGGTTTTAGGCCAAAAGAAATTGCGTCGCGTTTCCTCACCTCAATTAGCCCTTCTTGTCCGTTGCCACAGATTTGACAGACGACCGTCATGCGCAACGAGCCTTACGCACTTTTTCTAAAATTCATTGATAGCTGTGCGAAGGTCAAGATCTCCAAATTAGTGCTCAGTGAGCATGAGGTGATATTTGATATCAAGTGCTGGTAACATATAACAGTGCAGAACGTCTGTTGCGTTGTTGCCTTTGTCTCAGTGCTGAAAGTACTATTTGTCTACCCATTTTCTGAAAGCTTGAAAGATGTGCAAAGACAGTCAAGAATTATTGTTCGAAACCTGCAAATTCGACTACACTGAGCGCATTGATCAAAATAAGTAAGAGTCCTGAACTCAGCCTGTGCGAGCTCACTAAGCGTTTGACATAAGGATTCAGAGCTTGGAAGATGAGCATCAACTTGGGCTCAAGTTCCCTTCCTTTCCCTAGAGGTGGATGCATCGGCGGCGAAATGGAGAGCAGGTCAAAAACGTGTCAGCGATGATTGCAGTTTTGCCAAGCATTCTTTGAATAAAATTTAAAATTTTACATGTGACTCCCCTAAAAGGTTACATTGCTGCTACATTTCTGATTAATTTACAGAAACTATAATAAGATGTATAATTTGGAATTATGGTGGTGCTACCTCAACAAATTCTCTATGGATGCTTTCCCTCCCTTGTTTCATAACATTGCCATGTGGTTGACAGTTTTATTAGCTGGACAAAGGTAAGATTAGGCTGCTCAGTCACAAGGAGCCAAAGAAATCAGAGCATTTAGATACGTGTCTATAAGTTACCCGCTGCATTCACGAGGGATCTCCAATGTACGCAATGTACGTAGAGCGACTTTTGTGATCGCGGTACGTTGACAGAAGGTTTCCTCATAGCCAGAGAAAGTCAAGCGTTATTGCCAGATTGTCTCTTTGATGTGTGGCCTTCCTAAGTGGTTCGACTACTTCTATGAGACTGTGGAAGGGTGGATCTTCATGAGAGGACGGTGGATGTATACGCGGTAAGTTCTTGATTGAAAGAGGTGGCGAAGTCCGACGGAGTGGCCAACGAATTACCGTCTTACTTGGTGTGTGACATCCAAGAGGAAGTGATTGTACAGTTACATTTCATTCTTATTGAGAGTGAATAGTCTCGTGAAAAGGCAGCAACCTCAGCGAAATACCATCACAGGAAACTTCAATCTTATATATAAAGCTGAATGTCTGTTTGTATGTCGGTCTGTATGTCTGTATGTCTGTCTGTACGTATGTTCCGAATAGAAAATTCCATTTCTGAACCGATCGGGACCAAACTTGGCACACATACACTACGGGCCCCGGCGGGTGTCATAGGCTATTTTCGTCATCGATCGATAACGAAAAGTGGACTGTGACACCCGCCGGGGCCCGAAGGGTATGTGTGCCAAGTTTGGTCCGGATCGGTTAAGAAATGGAATTTTCTATTCGGAACATACGGCGGAGCCGGGTAAGCCAGCTAGTCTGAAATAAGTATCACGGTCGGCGCGGCTTGGGTCTCCCCGAGCCGCCTCCTTGAGTCTCTCGCCGCGTTCACCCTCAGGCGGATACGGTATTTTTCCATGCTTGAGGCATGGGAAATACTATCCGTAGGCATCAATGCTGACGAGCTTGAAAATGCCTCGAGAAGACACGTTTGCGAACGCATCGAGTAGCCCAAGAGAAGCGGCACGCGAGGATCAGAGTCGTGTCGATCATAGCACTCAAACTGAAATCTCGTGTAGGTGCGACAAAAATACTGTCGCTTCTTTTATGTAATTTAAATTCTTGCTCTCGTTAAACATACACGGTACCGCTTTCGTAGCAAGAGAACCGTGTGCTTCACAACACGTTTTATCGGCTTCCTACTAAACATTGTTTCCAGTAAAAGTGAAAGAGAAAGATTACTCCAGCAATCATACAAAAGTAGGTGCTCAACTCTGGATGCAATAAAATCCAAAACTTTCAGCAAAATAGGATTTGTGACATAGCCCTTTTGAATGGACTGTCTGAACGATTTTATCAAAAGTCAGGTTTTTAAGAGAAATTCCAATATAATCTGGTGTTTTTCTATGATGAGTTTAATAATCATAACTTTCATAGAAACAAATTAAGCAGAAACAATGAATCGCACAAACCTTGCTCGACAGGAGAGGCTAGGCTACAAAACCTATATCAGTGATACCTCCGAATTTTATCGCAAGATTCCAATTCCTTTCTCGACATGGTCTAAACTCAAGTGATTTTCATCCATTTTTACATCTTCAACTCTTTCTAACAACTCTTTTTGTAGTATTATATTTAGCAAGCCTTTGAGGAACCTGAAAGTTAGGAATTTCCAAAGAACATGCTGTTATAGCTAGATCAACATATTTTTGCACAGACGTACGTCTCCCTGCAATGTATTCGAATGCATTATTGTCGATGAAAACTGATAAAAGAGCATAAGATAGAAGTCGCTGTACAATTTTGCATTTCTCATTGGCAATGCGATTTTGTAAAAGCCCACTGCCACTCAGAAAGAGGTCAGAGCAACAGAAAACAATTTTTCCCTCATTTTTCAAACTTCGGCCATGAACATGTGTGGTGCATGCACGAAAGGAATGAGAATAATTTCGAAAGCCTAGATTCATATTTGATAGTACCGAACAATGGTTGCCTGAATTGTTGAGAATATTTCCGCATCAAAATTCAATACAGTTCTTAAAATCGCAGAGTGAAAATAAGATTTTCCCACTAAAGGAATTAGATTCGAATGATTTGCTTAGCTCGTTTTTGCAGAAGCTGCATTGCCGGCCAAACGCCGTTACTACATTTGGTTGGGCAGACACTCTTCTTCAATTTATACTTCTGGACAAGAGCCATAGGATTTATACTTTTGCCGAGTATACTACTTGTCATACTCAACATTCTTCTCATAAGAAATATTCGCCGAGCGCAACTCAGGAAACTTCACCTAATAAGGTATGTTTTAGGATTAGTATGGTGCAGTCGAATGTATTATGCTACGACTTCTTTTTTCTTGTTCAGAGAGAGGACCGAGGAGGCCGCTCGTCAAAGAGATAGTAATTCTACCACGCTGATGCTCATAGCTATAGTCTCCCTATTCTTGGTGAGTCTTTACAATTTACTGAGACCTTAGTTCCGTATAATGCTGGCAAGTCGGATCCTGTTGTGAATGGAGTACATAATACACATACAAATGAAAAACGAGAATCAGTCAAGAGCAATGTTCTTAGTGCCAAGAAACCCGAGAAGGTTAGAGATATGCGATATCAAGAATAGATTTCATATATGCGCATGACACAGGGTGTCTCAGAAAAGGCGTTTGATCGCTCGTATCATTTGCAGATTTTGCCCATTCTGAGGCATGTCTACTACGTTGATGTCACCTAACTCAGGTGGCTGTCGCGTTTTTTGCAGGAATTACGGGCGGTATTGTTTTGTGGTGCTGGCTTCAACTTATAATTACACGGCAAAAGAAGCAAACCATCGCCATTTACTACTGCAGGACTGTAGAGAATTCGAGCATATTGTCGTTGCAAATCAGCCGCCAATTTGAAAAAATCCAACATTTCAAGACATTTACTTCGGGATTTTTAGACTTACTGAGTCTAGTAAGTAACTTTGTACATGCACTTCATATTTTTGAAAACTCAGAAAAGCGCTATTACGGTATACCGGTCGCAGCTTTCAAAGCAGAGATTACAAACACGAAAAGCTCATATATGAAACCACAGCAACGCCAATTACCTGCTAACAAAGTTTCCAGCCTCTTCGAACGATATCTTAGGACAATAATATATGCTCTTATTAGCGCAAAGCTCTTTTACAAGATCCTACCGCAATTTTACAGCAATGAGGAGAATTTATGTTTGAGCCAGTCCTACCACGCGCTCCCCAAAGACCCGCTCTTCGGGCAAGGGGGTCATAAGTGATCGATAGTTCGTGAAATTCTTTTATGCAAAGAAGGCACGCTTTGTTAAATATTTTAGAATGTGTCTCATTCTTACCCAACTTACTTATTACTTTCATTCTTGAGAGAAGCGTTTATCACTACGCTTCAAAAAATTTCACGAAGCTAGATCGCCTTCAGAATTTGAGACATTTGTTTTTATCTACACTGGAAACAATTCACTTGATTACCTTATAAAATGTAAACCGCTTCTAGTGGGATCTCTCAGGAGAAGGTCGTGGACCTAGCTAGCCATTCAGGAATTACCCCAGCGGTACAGGGTGGGGTTTTTGAGAAGATTAGGGAATACTGAGATGGCACACCCCCAAGAAAAAACAAACTATTTCAACTATAAAACTTATACTTCGATACTTGCAAATGATTTTCTTTTGTATTGTTACGTTTCAGGTTGTGAATGTTCCTCAAGCAGCATTTATAAGTATACTGTGCGTATGTGAAACGTTTTCCATTCGATTTTCCCTACTGGAGGGAACATTTCCCGCTGTCTTTCTACTTGTCAGTAATATGCTGGTTATGGTATGTCTCCCTCAGGTATCTTATCAGCTCAGATCATAACTACCAGACCCATTTTAGGCAACGTATCCCATTAACTTCAGCATTTATTGCTTCATGTCCAGCAGCTTTCGAAAAACATTCAAATCGATGTTTTGCCCGTGAGTTTCTACCCTAAAGATTATCGAATTTTCGATTCCCTTCTCTCATGCACAATCACGCTTCAGTTCACATCATTCTTATCAGAACAATTGTATCCTAAGTACGTAAGACACTTGTCTGCATTTTTTTTTTCAACTAAAGGACGCCAGCAAGAACAGCATTGCTGTCGAAATGAGCACAAATGTAGATCAAAACATATAACGTCTTAATCTGCCTCGATTTCTAGAAATGCAGAAAAATTATATACATTCGATGATCGCGGCTTCATTACAGGTCCAATGCGAAGAGCTCTGGGAGGAGTCGACAGCTGACAAACGGATACACAGATGAATTAAGAAGTACTCAAAATTTTTAAATAACTTGACGTGCAATTCAAAATAATTATTACAAAGGAAATTTCGCATTACGTGAAAGGATCTCAATATTTTGTGAAAGAACTCATAAAAAATGTACGATATTCCCAAATTGTGATGATGTTGCCTCGCAATCTGTAAACGGCCAAGTTTTTCACAGTCGCTTTTTCATTAAAGCAGCGTTCGAGCAAATCTGGACACATGGGCATCACATCACACGTGGAAATTGGTTTTGGGAGATATAATAACTGCCCAAGCGGCAGCGCAGATGGACCGAAGCAGTCATCGGTACCGTACTTGGAGAACGACTTTTAAACTCTTCGGTGCTAACGTGACACGGCGCTAAGGCAGGGGGGGGGGGAGGTGCGGACAGGTACACGACTCGATGTCATAAGTAAATTTTGTAAAAATTAGCAAGGCAAATTATACTGCTTTATTTTGCGCGTTTGTCGCCTTCCGCGTGCTCCCGACCTCACCGCCATGGGCTCCGCGCTAAAGCATGCAAGCCGACGTAAGCCGTCCACCAAATGCGGTAGTGAAGAAAGGTGGCAGAAGACTGCTCTAAGGTTGTTGATTATCAACATAACATAATTAGCGGCGACGAAACAAAATTGTATTAGTTGGGCCAAAATAACGTTCATTTCCATAGCCTTAGAAATGTCTGCGCCGCAGTATAGATATGCTTTGGAGACCTATCGCTACCAAAATTGTTAGCTTCAGCAGTCAAACTGCACTTTTTATCAAGTTTCTTTTATGAGCAAACTTTCTCGTAGGCAGCATATACAGTTCCCAAAACATTATTATAACTTGAAAGCAGAGTAAGCTACCGTAAGCACGGTATGATTTAGATTTGATTAGCACGGTATATTAGCTGAGTGACATACTGACTGGGAAATCATAGATATCGTAGTATAAGTGCTGAGAGCTGGCTGCTCTGATCTGTACGTATTGATATATGCTTTCCCTACCTGATGGTCGGAAGTGTCATATCAAATAATTTTCACTGAAAGTTTTTCGGCTTTTACTTAGGGTAGACAAAAAAAATTCGCGTATCAAAGCGTACCGGCGTGGAAGCGGAGGGTTAGGAAGAATGTTGAATAGCCCCGCTGAGATGAATAGAGCAAACGAATAGGCATCAGGTGATCATCTACTCTGTCTTTAAAGACACCGTCCACCCAAAATGGAGTCTATGAGATTTCGATGCCTAACAATAGCGGGGCCCTCAACGGTATCTGCCCAACTCGCGCTGTTTGAAGTTGCTTCCAAAGCGAAAAAATCGCTTCGAAACTCCTTTAGAAGACGGATTCGCCACGTTGGCTCCTTCCTATCAAGTGGGCGGCGGTAAGATCGTCCCGCCCACTCAGTGACGTCGCCTAGCACTCGCAAAGATCAAGAAACTGATACACAATGTCCCTCACGCCTCTGCCCTGCAATGGCCCGCAGCTGACCCGCGGCTGACGGCAGGCGCAAGAAGTGTTCGTCTACTGCGGATTCTGAAGGGATCCAAGACTCAATAATTTGAGACTTTCGTGCAATTTTGGGGCTGATTCGGACTCAGTGTGCGCAGTACTAAAAAGGACAAAAACTCAGAATCGAGGATTTGGGTGGACGGTGCCTCTAACCGCATCAGTATCACCTTAGCCTGTATTCTGTGATTTTAGCGGCTTAATTCATAGCCAAATACCTACGTCATGTTGAAGTTAGAGACGCCGAATTTCCCTGCAACAGAAGCTGATCAGTTAACTTCTTTTCGAAGTTATCAAGACTCGGTTCAGTTAGCTTCCTGTGCATGCTGGATACCGGCATGAAAAGCAAAAGAATTGCTTTCGTGAGGTTCGAAGTGGAGCCCGGAAAGAGTGATGTAATCACCTAGTGTGGTGTATATGGAGATATGCAGTGTCCCCGATGTTGAAAGAATGAATTTCTCTTCAACGATTTTTTTCAACACCGTGACACCGTGTGCATACGCGCGTATGCACGCCCTGTCTCCCTTTTGCATTTTTGAGCAGAAAATCCTATGCAGTAATAATACTGATGGCGTGATTGTCCAACAGAAGACATCGCGATAGCGGTTCATAAGTTTAGACCTCAAATTAAAGTATTCAGCCCATTTTTTATGTGATAAATGTAAGCCAATTTTGTTTTCTGAAAGAACGAAAACTCTGTATAGGTGTTCTGCGAGCAATCAAATACGATTTCAGGTAAGAAACAACCAATATTAACGCTTTCCCCAGATATAGCCATTGCGATATTGGAGGGGAAAGCAATGCAAAATCCCTCATATATAGACTCGTGGCATACATGTGATTCTGTAAAAAAACCTCGCATGTTTCTTGAATAAGTGTCCAAAGGACTCTCACATACAGTCGAGTAGATTTCCGCTTAAAGTGTGCTCGCACTGTAGGTGAAATGCGGTAAATTTTGCTCGTGAACAAATAGCTGCCTCTGTGAAGTCGCCCAACTGCGCGCGCAAAATCATTACTGGCGCGATCACTTGTTCCGCAAATTTTACCGCATTTTTACCTGCAGTGCGAGCACACTATATTAGCAGAAAATCTACTCGATTATAATGATTTCATGCATAAATGCTTGCCCCGTATGCAGGAGCAGCAAGAAACGTCAGTGAGAGTTTCGCTCAAAATGGCTGGTTGTCTACGTGTTAACGAAGTGGAATGCTTTGATTTTAGATGACGACGACAAGGTAGGAGATAAGTGTGTGATAGTTTCATACTAAATTAAACACCAAAGATAATTAACATTCATCATCGTAAACCACACCATTGCTGTGGATTATAGCTTTGGCCCCTTCCACAGCTACTACTAAATCTCTTCAAAACGTTTCAGTGTCGCTTTTGCAAAGACCTACCTAACCGTCTGATCTCCAGATACAATCGCGAAAACATCGATTTCCGAGTTCACTATATCGCTGCGCAAGCTGCTATTACCCAGTTTTTTTAAAGAAACTTTATTCCAGTCCACAATCCTATGATACGTACTTACAATCTAAAATTTGCTTACCGCACATGTTGATCGTTCGGATGTCTGTTTCTGTGCCACTGTGAGTGGATTTTTTCTAAAAAAATATTTAGAATCAACGTTGACTGGAATGACGAGAACACATTTGAGGACTTGATGTTTTGAAATTGAGACCGTGGGGAAAAATATCTCCAACGTGTTATTATTTAAACTTTTTGACATTCCGACTTGTTCTCGGAACTCCCACAGCTTTCTACAAAGCATTTTAGAAGTTTTATTTCGTAAGTCCTTTGGTCCTTCGTAAGTCCTTCCACGTTGTATGCAAAACTGTGTAAAACGAGAATTTACAACGCTATACTTCTCCAGCATTTGTAAGGATTCAAGTATCAACTCAGCTCGCATATCATAGCGTATTAGATATCAGTTTCAATGGCGTCGCATAACCTCTGTTGAAGAGTGTGGCAGCTGGAGGTATGTAACTATCCCATTGTTTAAGAGTTTCCTTCGAAGTCTATAGTATCCAGGATGATATGGCGATCGACTGTGACAAATGGATTGTGAGAAATGACTGTTTCCTCCATCTCCTGACTCAAAGAGACATAAGTATCGCTACAACGTACAGTGACCGCCAAAAAGTTGCGGACAAGCCTCCCTCCCTTTTTCATCGCTCTATTTCAGAAGGAAAACAAGGATAAAAAAAATGTAGTAATTGCATGAGGTGATAGAGCTCTTCAAGATCTACAATCTACAATTTGCGTTTTTCGAAAAACATGTATTCTAAAAATTTTAAAAATCTTTTTCTCAAAAAAGTCCGAAATTGGCTGCGTCACAATGTCGCGGACAATAATTCTTCGAACGCAAAAATTTTCTTTTAGGTCTTTTCTTGGAGCAAAAACAGAAGTTTTCCGGAGAGATAAGCATACTACTATACAGAGCTCGTCAAGAACTACACACTGGTTATGGTTGCTTCCCAGAAAACACAAGCTTGAATTTTATTTTGCTTCTTTTCAAAAAACAACTTCTAATTCCCTGCTTCAAGCCAAATTTCTTCACATGGAAAACCATGCAAGACATTCAAACAAAGCTATTCAGATAAAATGGATGCCCTTTGCCATCTTCTATGCATCGGACGTGTGCTGGTGAGTTTCTTTGCTGAAAATGGCTTCTGACAGTGCGTGTACATGACCCACCTGCACCTCACCACTGACCTGTACCGCTTTGCAGGCTTGTAACTCGGCTTGTAGTCAATGTGTGAGCCTGCAATTAGGCTCATTCGAAAGAACGAGACTTCCTCTACACGATGATATGCAAAAGAGATGGGTATAAGAAACAGCGGAGATTTGGCGGATGGGGTGGAAAAACGCGGCCTCAGTGGTGGTTGGAGTGAAGGCTCTTAAAAACACCAAAACAGTTCTAGAGCTTCAAAATGGATCTATTACAAGAACATTGACAGTTTTAAGCTTCCAGGATTGAACTGGTAGCGAAAGAAACTCTATTCAACTTTAGCTGGATATCCTCACCCTACCAGTGAGGCCGCATTTTTCCACCCCATCCGCCAAATCTCCGCTGTTTCTTATACCCATCTCTTTTGCATATCATCGTGTAGAGGAAGTCTCGTTCTTTCGAATGAGCCTAATTGCAGGCTCACACATTGACTACAAGCCGAGTTACAAGCCTGCAAAGCGGTACAGGTCAGTGGTGAGGTGCAGGTGGGTCATGTACACGCACTGTCAGAAGCCATTTTCAGCAAAGAAACTCACCAGCACACGTCCGATGCATAGAAGATGGCAAAGGGCATCCATTTTATCTGAATAGCTTTGTTTGAATGTCTTGCATGGTTTTCCATGTGAAGAAATTTGGCTTGAAGCAGGGAATTAGAAGTTTTTGAAAAGAAGCAAAATAAAATTCAAGCTTGTGTTTTCTGGGAAGCAACCATAACCAGTGTGTAGTTCTTGACGAGCTCTGTATAGTAGTATGCTTATCTCTCCGGAAAACTTCTGTTTTTGCTCCAAGAAAAGACCTAAAA